GAGTCATTCTGCAGCCACAGGCGCTGATTTCTGGACAGCAGAACCTGGCTGAACGTAGGCTAAAAGTGGGAGAATGAATGGCTCCGGCTAGTTCTGAGGCAGTCCTCTCTAAGTGAAGCCCCCGCCTGCAGAAACTTCCATTGGTAGGAAGCTAGCCCTATGCTGTAGCACCTTAATCTGGGACGTGTAGACCCTGGCCTGAGAGGAAAGACAGATTCTAGCATCGGGAAATCTGCCTGCAGGAGAAGATACAGCTCATCTCCCCAGGGGGACTCAGGCAGAGGTGCACAGGGAACCCATAGGGATCCAGGCACGAAAGGCATCAGTAGGAGTCATGATCCTCAAACCTAGGGATGGAGGAAGGCAAGTGGGACCAGAGCCCACGAGGGGATAAGGGAGGCAAGAATGTGGCTTAGGGGGCAACATCTACTTCAGTCACCAGTTTCAAAAAATTTGCATGTTGGACTGAACTGTAGGTATAGCCAAAGTGCTTGCCTAACACCCGTGATGTCCTGGGTTTGAACATCAAAGAACCAGGCTTGATGGTGCAAGCAGGTAGTCCCAGCACTCAGGAGGTGGAGGCAGGAAGGTCAGAAGTTCAAGGTCATCCTTGGCTAGTAACTAGCAAGTTTGAGGCCAGCCTGAGATATAATGAAACTCACAAAACAGTAACAAAAAGAAACGACAAAAACCTAATTATGTCCCCTTGTAGGACCTGAAGCCACCAACAGCTAGAAGTCCAGGAGAAAATGACACTGACCCCCCACTCTTTTTACTCACTGCTGTTCCTTGGTCCTATCCGCATGGCCATGTAACCTCCCTTAGAAATGGCTCACATACTCCCAGTAGATGCCGTAAGACTTGGCAGCCCTTTCTCAGGTTCCTGCCCCTGCTGGCCAAGCCACCAACAGAAGCACTGGCACGGATGAGTGGAGCACACGGGAGACAGGAGATGGATGCTATGTTTGTCGACAGTGCCTGCTGTGGCTGTCTCTCACTGACTTCATTCTCACACCGTTCTCAGAAGGTGAGTCCTCGGTTCACAGATGGAGCTTCAGTGATGGTTCCTGGGTCATCCAAGACGTCACAGCCCCTGAGAAGCTGTGTTGCTTTCTTCTCAAGAGGACACCTTCATGGCAATTTCTAAAAGAAAACAAAACAAAACAATATAAACAAAGGTGGACTCTAGAGAAACCACCAACCTCTAGGAAACCCTATTTCCTTCCACTTTTTGGACCTGGGCAGCGGAGCTCTGCCATCTAGTGGCCTTGGGGCTCAATTCCCTTCTTTCCAGCAGCACCATGGGATAGGGTCAGCCAGTCTAGCTCACCGCTGTGCTATGCTGTGCTTGCACCCAGCAGGAGCGGGTGACACTCGGGTGGCAAGGCCACTTGGAGTAGAGACTGGCATCAGTGGGAAACACCAGGCACCGCGTTGATGGGTTGAGACCAGAGACTGGCATTGTCCCGGGAGTCACTGAGGCTTTGCCCTGTGAGCAAAAGATCTGTCAGATTTTAATACAGGCAGAGGGACAGAAGGAAGCCATCCTTTCCCACTTTGGCTTGAAGCAGGGCTCAGTTTGGCTGTGGACTCTGTAGTGAGGTATCCTAGCATCTGTCTCCATGGTTGGCAGCACCCTGCTGTGGAGTCTAAAAGTCGCTGGAGTTTGGCCTGAGGCTTTTGTTGTTGGAGACTTCTGCTTGGGAAAATTGAAAAGGAGTAAGCCTTTTCAGGATGAGGCATGAGTCAGGCTAGGAGGATGGGAATCCCTGTAGCAACTGGGAGGGCAGAGGGCCTGCCTGTTTTCCTACCAAGTGCCTGTCTGGGGCAGATATGCATGAATACGGTGAGAAGTGGGCTGGGAACTTGGAAATAGAGCTGCCCAGCGACAGGGCTTAGTCACGTGGGGGCATAAAGTGGAAACAACACAGCTGTTGAGTGATGACGCAGGTAAAAGTTTATAGATTCGGAAAGATGCTCACAACATATTGCTGAAGGAAAAGCAAATTGTAAAATAATTGGTGCAGTATGGGCCTGTTTTGAAAAAAAAATGTATTTATACGTGTAGAAAAGTCTGGCAGTGTTTGTCTGCATGTGGCAAAATTATGGCTAATTAAATATTTATATTGCTTATGTGTACTTTCTGATTTCTCTACAGTGAATGTATAATAAAAACACTAATAAAGTTTGTACATCAAGTGCAACCAAGAATGTCTTTCTTTTGTCTCTATACACAAATATCCCTTGAGAGAGCATAGCAAGGATCCGAAAGCCCAGTGCAGTTAGAATGGAACTTGAGCCTGCATCAGGAGTCTAGGGAGGGGGCTGAGGGACAGAGGCTGGGGGGATCCTTGGCTGCACTGAAACAAACTCATTTGGACAGGAGGAATCTCCATTTTTGGTGACACACCTCTCCTGCCCTTGATCTTTTCCTTCCAGAATCACTTAGCTTATACCTAGAAAGGTAGGCCACTCCCACCCTGTGAGGCGTGTCCTAAGTTAAAGGTTGCCCTCTAGTAAGGCTCTTCCTCTAAGTTCCCCGTTCTTTAACGTTCCCAACTTATGAGAGGATCAATAAGTCCCTGGGGCAGGAAGTGGTCACACAAGCCTTTTATCCCAAAGGGGCAATTGGATTGCTGTGAGTTCCAGACCAGCTTGATCCAAATAGTGAGTTCCAGGGGACACAATGAGATCCTGCCTAAAGGGCGCTGGGAACTTCTCTCAAGATCTACCTTACCGGGCTGAAGAGATGGCTCCGAGGTTAAGAGCCCTGACTGTTCTTCCAGCGGTCCTGAGTTCAATTCCCAGCAACCACATGGTGGCTCACAGCCATCTGTAATGAGATCTGGTGCCCTCTCTGGCCAGCAAGCATACAGACAGAACATTGTATGCATAATAAATAAATAAATCTTTTTTAAAAAATTACCTTACTCAGCACTTGGGAGGCAGAGGCAGGCGGATCTCTGTGAGTTCGAGACCAGCCTGGTCTACAAGGGCTAGTTCCAGGACAGGCTCCAAAACCACAGAGAAACCCTGTCTCGAAAAAACAAAACAAAAAAAAATAAATTTACCTTACTATGTCATTGCCCAAGATGGGGGCAGGGAGGTATGGCTAGATCCTGAGGGGCTCCGTCCTTCCCATGCTGGGACTTGCTAGGGGAATCTCAGTGCCCATTGCATGCTGAAATACCATGCAATAACATGAATACCATGTCCCTGATACGGAATAAGGGATGTTGCTATGCCAGGAGTTTAGGGGTCTGAACTGGCTTGAGCAGTAGAAGGGGCAAGCAATCAGGCATTGTGTGTAAGCTGGAGACCTGGCAGTGCTGAGCTGGTCAACCCCTGCCCCAAGACCTCCTCCTTGTGCCCACTGAATGACTCACCTTGGCATAGACACAATGGTCAAGGGTGGGCACACAGCCTGCTTCCCGCTGTACTCCAGGCCCCCTTCGATGCTTTCCGAGAAACCCATTGAGCTGGGAGCTTGTACAGCACCCGGGGCTGACATCCTGGCATCTTGGGATAAAAGCAGCCCAGCCCCTGTGGGGCTGCCCTCGCCGTATGGCTCCCTCACTGGCGGCAGAGAACAAGGCTCTATTCAGCAAGTGCCCTGGAGTCGAGATCAGAAGCTCAGGCATGGACAGAGGAAGGCAGGGGTGGGGGGGGGGAGCTGAGCTGTCTGTTTTCCAGAAGCCCAAGGGCACAGATGGCTAAGGAGCCTGGGAGGGACCAGAGTGGAGAGGAGGATAGATAGACCTGAAGTCTCGTGGCAACAGCCTCATCCCCACCACTGATGATGGTGAATTCTGATTTCCCAGAACTACAAATCCCCCAGAGGCCTGAAGTGTGGGAACTTGAAGAAGATAAATCTGGGAGAATAATGAGGGGTGGCAAGGGAGTCAGGGTGTTACAGAAATAAAGACCCTAGCATGTACAGTCAACTCACTGAGGGCTGCTCTTGTGGAGCTGTCAGGGGCTAGGCTCCGGGAGGAGCAAAGGGAAGCTGGACCAGGAAGCCAAAGAGGGGCTCAGGAAGGATGCCTACTGTCTTACCCTATTAGGATCCTCACACATTCCTTCTGTCATGCCCCCTTGACACACAGCTAGAGGCCCAAGGTGACCCTGGGGTCACAGGGAGGGCCCCAAACCAGGAATGAGAAGACACGATGGCGGGTTCTGGGGAGAGGACTCTGGACATCTGTTGGGAATGGGAGTCAGCAGGAAACTATAGTATTATAGGCTGGTCCTGGAGGCGGGGCATAGGTTCTTCAAGTTCCTAGCATCTCACAGGCCCATGGAGAAGTGCAGAGTGAGGGTAGCCCTGGCTTATAGGCTCTAAGAGCTGGAAGCAGCTCACCATCCCAGCTTGCTCTTTCTCTCTCTCGCTCTCGCTCTTTCTCTGTATGTCTCTTTCTGTGTGTGTTGTGTGCGCGTGCGTGCGCACCCACACACAAGTGTTCGTCCACTGCATAGATGTTCATGTGTGTACATATATGTGCTGAGACCAGATATCAACCTGAAGTATTTTTTTGTGATAGCATTTCTCCCTGGGACCTGGAACTCACCAATTAGTCAGTGAGACCCAAGGATTCTCCTGATTTTCATTCCCGGGCACTGGAGTTACAAGTATGCATTGTCAAACCTGGCTTTTTGTGCTCGTTTTGTGGCTAGAACTTGGAACTTCATGCTTGACAGGCAAGCAATTTATGAACTAAGCTGTTTCCTCAGCCACTCTAGCCCTCTCTCTTGACCCCTCTAACCAGAAAGGGGGTTTTCTTCATCACTGGTGCCAAGCTGGTATGCCCAGGGAAGCCTTGAATCTGATACAAAAAACTCAGTGGGGTGAGAGGAGGTCGCTCCATAGCTGGGCTAGGGCCCAGCTCCACCCCCTCAGGCTATTCAGTGGGGTGCTGCTGCCGGGAAGTCAGGGCAGAGCCAGTTCAGCCCATTCCTCCATAAAGCCCTGACATCCCAGGTGCTAGCAGATGCAGGGAAGGATGGAGCGAAGACGCATCACCTCTGCACGTCGCTCTTATGCCTCCACCGAGACGGTGGTCAGGGGTCTGGGTCCCAGCCGCCACCTGGGTACCATCCCGCGCTTCTCTCTGGCTCGAATGTCTCCCCCACTCCCTGCCAGGGTGGACTTCTCCCTGGCAGGTGCTCTTAATGCTGGCTTCAAGGAGACTCGAGCCAGTGAGCGCGCAGAAATGATGGAGCTCAATGACCGCTTTGCTAGCTACATCGAGAAGGTCCGCTTTCTGGAACAGCAGAACAAAGCGCTGGCAGCTGAGCTGAACCAGCTTCGCGCCAAGGAGCCCACCAAACTGGCCGACGTCTACCAGGCAGAGCTGCGGGAGCTGCGGCTGCGGCTGGACCAGCTTACTGCCAACAGTACCCGGTTGGAGGTGGAGAGGGACAATTTGGCACAGGACCTCAGCACCCTGAGGCAGAAGTGAGGAGGGGGACAGGGGAAACGGCTAGTTGAGCAGTGAGACTGACCCGAGAAAGGTGCCTGTAAGAAAGGGTACTGATTCTGTCAAGGGCAGGGTCTCTCAGCTGCTGTATGTATTTCCCCATGCCTGAAAAGTGAGAGCTATCTTTGCTCCCTAATATGATGGAAATAGCTAGGACAAGACCAAACTTTCAGGGATCTGATACCCAAAGGTCTGCTGCCAGGGAGCTGGGCACTCTGGGGCCCCTCCACACTGAGGAAGGCTATGTGGGTAGCGATGGCACCAGCCACCAGCCAGCGGGTGCTCTGCCCTTGCATTCATTTGTCACTGGGAATGGTCAGCGTGGAGGTCTGTGCCCACAAGGAGGCTCTGGTCTCTGAAATATAGGAAATGCAAGGCTGGCCTGGGTGCAGAACCCAGATGGCGGTCTGTCACCAGCTTTTGACCGCACTCAAGCCATTCTGATCGTCATAGCTGTGAAGTTGAGGTCATGATACGATCTGTCCTAAAAGATGGTGACCAGGGGTCGAACTGTGGGGCGTGGTGCTTTGCATGGTGGACATTTCGTGAGCCCCTCTGGTGCAGGAGGTGCGGCGGTGTCTGCACAGAGAGCACATGGTGGTGGGCGCGTCTGTGAGAGCAGGAGCGGCTGCACCGACTCTGATAAGGCGCCTCAGTAATGAGTTAAAGCAGAAGCCCTTATCTGCTGCTCACTCTCTCAGCCGAGGCCTCTGTCGTTTACTTCTCCTGCCACTCTGTGGGGTCCTGTGAGAGTGTTTTATGACAGTCACCTCCAGAGAGGTTGGGACATGGATCCGAGAGTCCTCAGGAAACCCTAAACCTGTGTCCCCTATCCTAGGCTCCAAGATGAAACCAACCTGAGGCTGGAGGCTGAGAATAACCTGACTGCTTATAGACAGGTCAGAGAGACGGGAGGGATGGGCAGCGAGGGGGGAGAGGTTGGACAGACGGACAACAGGGAGGTTAATGGCGGTCCACCCAGACACAATCCCTGAACTTAACCTCCACAGCAATTGCCTGCTTCCCAGAGCCCCACAAGGACAGGGGAGACAAAACTGGAGGTTGTTGTGAGGTAGACTCTGGGGTCAAAAAGGTCCTCTTCCCATCCCAGGAGGCAGATGAAGCTACCATGGCCCGTCTGGATCTGGAGAGGAAGATTGAGTCGCTGGAGGAGGAGATCCAGTTCTTGAGGAAGATCCATGAGGAGGTGAGGCCAGGTGGAAGGAGGGAGGCCCAGCAGGTAACTGTAAGTAAGAGAAAGAGAGAGAAATAATCAGAGAAACAGAGACGCCAACTGTCAGGAAGAAAGAACGTGGAAGAGAAAGAGTGAAGACGAGAGGCTAAGGGAGATGTTTTCCAGTGTCTACTACCCCTGGAAAATGCACGCATCCCTCCCCCACCACCATGGTCTGAGAAGCACAAGGCCAGGTCTTTGGTTTCTCCTCATCAGCTTTGTGAGCCCTTCTCGTGGTCCCCTTCCACAACGAGGAGGGCATTGAAACCCAGAGAAGTTTTTTTAACAAACACCCCAAAGTCACACAGCCTCTCTGGTTTCACCCTCTCCCCCACCTGTCTCCAGTAAGATGGGATCCTCATGAAAACCCCGCTGAGGACATGGTGGCGCACTTCTCAGAACCTGGGAGGTAGAGGAGGCTCAAAGTGTTTAAGGTCAATTTCAGCTACACAGAGAAGTTGAGACCAGCCTGGTCTACATGAGACCTTGTCTCAAACACACACACACACACACACACACACACACACACACACACACACACACACCTCTGTTCTCTGACCTCAGGGCCTGGATGCAAGACATATTCAATATTCATGCCTGGGTCCTGGCTCTGCGGCTCTGGGAGGAAGACGCCCTCAGACTTCCGTGCCATAAACATTGTTTTTTTTTTTTTTTTGGTTTTTCGAGACAGGGTTTCTCTGTGGCTTTTGGAGCCTGTCCTGGAACTAGCTTTGTAGACCAGGCTGGTCTCGAACTCACAGAGATCCGCCTACCTCTGCCTCCCGAGTGCTGGGATTAAAGGCGTGCGCCACCATCGCCCGGCAAACATTGGGGTTTTTATTTTCACTTTTTGACAGGGTCTCACTGTGTACCCTTGACTGGCTTAGAACATGCTATGTCGACAAATCTGGCCTCAAAACCCATAGAGATCTGCCTGCTCCAGCCTCCCACATGCTGGGGTTGGTTAAAGGTGTGTGCCAGCGAGCCTGGCGCATGCCTGTTAGGTTAGGTCATATGCTTCTTCCAGTAAAGACTGCCCTGTTTCCCTGAGCTGGTGCCAAAGCTGGGCAGGCAGGGGTGTGATGCTAGGAGAGCCCCCAGCGGTAGCCTGGACCTGAGATTAGAGCCTCCATACCCTCCATACCCTTCTTCTACCCTACTAGGAAGTTCGAGAGCTCCAGGAGCAGCTGGCCCAACAGCAGGTCCACGTGGAGATGGATGTGGCCAAGCCAGACCTCACAGCAGCCCTGAGAGAGATTCGAACTCAATACGAGGCAGTGGCCACCAGTAACATGCAAGAGGCTGAGGAGTGGTATCGGTCCAAGGTACCTGTGGGCTAACCTGCCTCTTCCAGGCATCCCTTCCTGATCCATACTGGAGAATAAGGAAAGGAAGCTTGGAAAAGCACCCATATAGGTGACCAGCCTTTCTGAGAGAAGTGAGATGCCTTGCCCAGGACCACACTACTTCCCAAACTACTAACTGTTATTATGACAACTGCTTTTTTTTTTTTTTTTTTTTGGTTTTTCGAGACAGGGTTTCTCTGTGGTTTTGGAGCCTGTCCTGGAACTAGCTCTTGTAGACCAGGCTGGTCTCGAACTCACAGAGATCCGCCTGCCTCTGCCTCCCGAGTGCTGGGATTAAAGGCGTGTGCCACCACCGCCCGGCTCATGACAACTGCTTTTAACCAGCAAGATTAAAAGGTTGACTGGCTTGCAATGTCACACAGCTCGTGAGTGATACAGGGATAACGCTGCCCATTCTAACCCATCTCATTTGAAACGCTGCCTTTTTGGCACCTCTGCCAGTCTGTGTCCTGTGCTCCCGAACATCTACTGTGTGCCGAGTACTCCCGAGCCGCAGAAACATTTGGTCAAGGTGCTGTCAGAGTTCATACAGACTGTGGGAAACAGGGAAGGTGAGGGGTTGGGTCTTGTGCTAGACAGGCAGCCTAGAGACTCAAAAGAAGAGGGAGGGCATCTCAGGCAGAGAACAAGCTCTGCCGGGAGGCCTGAGACACAAAAAGCAGACTGGAGATGCCGCTGACCCAGGGCACCAAGCCCGGTGTGAACTGCCTGAGCCAGTGACAGCCTGAGCAAGATGAAGGCCTGATAAATCCTTCAGTTACAGATGCTCCCGGGGTGGGGCCGAGCCGGGGCGACTCCTGAGGTCGCCCCCACTTTTCTGATATTCCAGAGACCATGTGTATCCCCCATTCCCTGGTCTGTGCACTGTGCCATTGGGAGACTCCAGTCCTCCCTTCAACTTCAGGTCCTCTCTCGGTTTAGTTTGCGGATCTCACAGACGCAGCTTCCCGCAACGCAGAGTTGCTCCGCCAGGCTAAGCACGAGGCTAATGACTATCGTCGCCAACTGCAGGCCTTGACCTGCGACCTGGAGTCTTTACGTGGCACGGTGAGCGCGGGCAGGCACCGCTGGTCGGATGTGGGCAGCGCCACCCAAGATGGTGCTGGAAGGGGACTGGGGTCGGGGGTTGGGAGGGAGGGTGATATCTGAAAAGTTGGAAGCGGCATAGGGGGCCAGGGCAGAGCCTCGAAGCCTCTTAGAATCGCCAGACTCTTGGATCAGTGGGCTCTATCCGGCAGAACGAGTCCCTGGAGAGGCAAATGCGTGAACAGGAGGAGCGCCACGCACGAGAGTCGGTGAGTTACCAGGAGGCGATCGCCCGGCTGGAGGAGGAGGGTCAAAGCCTCAAGGAGGAGATGGCCCGCCACCTACAGGAGTACCAGGATCTACTCAACGTCAAGCTAGCCCTGGACATCGAGATTGCCACCTATAGGAAACTGTTGGAGGGCGAGGAAAACCGGTGAGCTCATCACTGCCCTAGGGAACTGCTCTCTCTCTCCGGAGTTGCAATTCCTCTTGTTCCCTTCAGTACTCCAGCTTTGTGCCTCCCACCCCCAGAGTCCAGCCTAACACACAATAGCTATTCAAGAAATGTCTGAAGAATAGATACGTATTCAACCAATATTAAGTACCAGGGCTGAGGACTTGAGTTATTCCCCAAACTAAGTGGCTGACCCCCAAGACTGGTCACAAAGATGGCACTTCCCAAGGTCTGGTGGGTTTGTTCTGCATCCTTGGAGCTATTGTGACCATTTTTTTTTTTTTTTTGCTCCTCCCATTTTCCAAGCCTCCATTCTCCTTCCTGGAGGTATTCTACGGGCAGATAACACACAAGCTCCCTGCAGACTTTTTCAGCTCCGGGAGAGTATTGGCTTCTGGGTTGAAAGTTAGGTGGTGGAGGCTGGAGAGGTTACTCTGTAGTTGGGGTCAGGTTCCCGGCAGCTGTTTGATTGCTTGCAATGTCCTGGGGTAACACTCCAGTTCCAGGAGATCCAACACCCACTTCTGCACTCGTGTATGTATAGGCATGGTAGCTCATGGCCTTCATTCCAGTACTTGAGAGGAAGAGGCAGGCAGATCTCTATGAGTTTGAGGCCAGTCTGGTCTATATATTGAATTCTAGGCTAACCAAAGATCTTGTCTGTATATAGAGAGATCTTGTCTGAAAGAGATGGGGGCAGAGAGGAGAGAGAGGAAGGGATGGAGAGAGGGAGGAGAGAGTTAGGGAATGTCGGAAATGGAGTCAGACTGGCCTGGCAAAGGACCTTGAGAGTTTCACTCTGTCCCTGGACCAGGACCTGGGGTGTCTAGGGTGACCTCATCATCCCTATTCCTCCTCTGTTTTTCAGCATCACTATCCCTGTACAAACTTTCTCCAACCTGCAGATCCGAGGTCAGTATAGTGGGGCCTTGTGGGAAAGGGTATTGAATTCCCACCTCCTCCCCCAGGCCTGTGGACAACTCTTGGGAACGGGGGACAAAGGGATCCGGGTTCTCCTTGGAAGCCCTTATGACCCTCCACTGAGATCCTAGACAGTGCACAGAATCCTAGGGCTCATAGCTGTTCCTGTTTCACTCTGCCCTGCCCCCCACCCCCCATCCCCTAGCTGTGCCCCTGCAGAACCGGTGATGTCTCCACTGATGCCAGGTCTGCTGGCCTTGGACAAGCTCTGCCCTTCTGAATGTTTTCTGTTTTGTTTTGTTTTGAACTGCTTGTCACTACAGGGGGCAAAGGCACCAAAGAAGGGGAAGGCCACAAAGTCACAAGACATCTCAAAAGGCTCACAATACAAGTTATCCCAATACAGGCTCACCAGATTGTAAACGGAGCCCCGCCAGCTCTCGGTTAGATAGATACCTGCTTTTCAGTTGTGCGCTTTCCCCAGCTTGACAGGGAGTAAGCCTTCCCAAGCCTATTTCCCCAGTCCTCTGGGCCTCTTGCTCCCAGGCCTCCTCTAAAGGCCTGGGACCTTTTCCCAGAAGCTTCAGTCCCCAGTCCAGGTCCTGGTTCTGTGTAATTAGGTTATACAGACAGAGCTAGCCCATGATAAAGGGGGCTTTTCCCTGGGAGCTAAATGAGAGGCTCTGAAGCCTCTGAGCAAATGCCAGCCTCTGCCTCGCCACTTCTCTGTCGCTAGGTGGTCCCCTTGGGTCTCGCAGAGCCTCTGGGCAGGCTCTGTGTTTGATTCATGTGTCCCCAAGGCTCTGTTGCTTCACTCGGTGCTGATTCAGCCCAGAGGACTAGTTCCCTCTAGACTGCTGCTCTTGTAGTGAATAAAGTTTTATGTTCCCAGCTCTTCATTTTAAATATTAGTGAGTGTGACATGTTACATTTTTCTCTCTAAGGGGGGCTGACCAAATTGCTTTTTACTGGTATGTGGCCCTTAAATGATTCTTGGTTACAGGGGAAAATTCCATTTGGGAATATTGGCCATACATATTTCAGGATGTAGTTCAGCAATAGAAAGTTAATTATGCTGACCGGGTAGAGGTAAGAGTGCCAAATGTTAGACAGTCAAAGGTCACTGGAGTCCAGACAAGTGACAGAAAAAGGTAGGAATGGGGACAGGTCCCACACGCATAAATCACTCATTTGTGCAATACATTAACACCCATTAGTTGCCCCCCCCCAATTTCCTAGGAGAGTAGGCACCATGAACCCTTTTTTGTAATAGAGGAGACTGAGGTTTCTTTCTTGGCGCAGCCCTTGGTTGTCAGGAAGCCAGGTACCAGAACAGAAGGCCAAGTGGGCTACAGGACAGCAGCGGGACGTGCCCGCACTGGGGAGGGGGGACGGCAGCTGAGGGACATGCCCACACTGGGGGGCAGCAGTGGGACGTGCCCACACTGGGGAGGGGGGCTGCAGCAGGATATGCCCACCCTGGGGAGCAGCTGGGAGACTCCAGTCACTTTGGATAAGTCAAGGCTCTCCCTGCCTAGTTAGATAGCCCTGTAGTCATGACCCTGGGCACATGATGGGGAAGCTGGGCACAGGACAGGATGCTTAGTATCCCAAGAGCCCATGGAGGCTTCCTCTCCTCACACCTGCAGAAACCAGCTTGGACACCAAGTCTGTATCAGAGGGACACCTCAAGAGGAACATCGTGGTAAAGACAGTGGAGATGCGTGATGGCGAGGTGAGGAAAGGTTCTGGTTGGCCCCAGGAGTTCTTGAAGCTAGACTAGGAAAAGCCTGGGACTAGCTCACGGAAGGTCCTTAGCTAAGTACCTGGGACTCCCAGTGGAGCTCTGGAAGAAGGGACTGACCTTGAATGTAATTCTCCTTTCCCAGCCCTTCCTCGGGTGGTGGGTTAAGGACAACCCATGTACCAAGGCTACCTGAGGGTCCAGCTCTGACTGGGACAGTTAGGGAAAGAAAAGGCCTTCAAATTTTACTCAAAGGAATTTTCCCGAGAGGAATGGGACTCAGAGATAGGTACAGCATGCATGGGGTGGTGGTGGTGGTAGAAATAACTACTCCTATGCCATAGTGTCAGGCATAGCATTCAATGCTTTATAAGTGGCATTTCACACCCCAACTGGACCTCAGCATGATGTAATTACAATGACAGTCAAGGGAAGACACATCCAGGACAGTTGGGGACTTGTGTCGGGATGCACAGCCTAGCACGTGGTTCCAGAAGCTGTGTCAGTCCCGAATTGTGCACTGTGCACCTTCCCTGTCCCCTGCAGGTCATCAAGGAGTCCAAGCAGGAACACAAGGATGTGGTGTGAGGGGTGCCCACCTGCTGGCTCCTGCCACACAGCGTGAAGGGCCCAAAGCTCCTCCTCAGACAGTCCTCTTCCCGTCCATGTCGGCATTCCCCTTCCCTTTGTTCTCATGCCTGTCTGCTGCCCAAGACTCAGTCCTTACTCAGCCTGACAGATGGCACATACCCTGCGCCTCCAACTAACAGGCTACTCACCCCAAAGGGGCAGTCAGGAGGGGAGGGGCCGGCAGCTGGGTTAGAATTGGAAGGAAAGAGGAAAGTTGGGCAGAGCAGGGAGTCTTAACGAATCATTTCCTTCATCCTTGTTGTTATGGAAACTGTTGCTAGAGCTAGAAGGCTCTGGGAACTGGCTGCTGGAGGGAGACAGAAAGTCAGACAGAAAGGGGAGGTCCCAAGGCAAAGTAGCTCTAGTCAGAGACCTATGCTTCTGGAAAAGCCCTGACTGATCGAGGGGTGGGTAGGGTAGACCTGCTACCCGGAATGGCCATTAAGGCAGTCCCGAGGGTCCTCCAGAATGGTGACTCATGTCTCAACCCCACTGGGGTTGCCATGCAGCTCAGCAGCCTGTGAGCATACGGAGACTTGGTTCTCAGCGCTTGGGGGAGGGGGGATATAGCATAAATGGAGAGGCAAGTAGTACTGGGAGGGAGTATAGGTGGGGTGCCTAGCCCTTAAATGTGGGTGCAGAGAGCTCAAGCCCTGGAAGGCTCCCCTACTCAGGCTGGAGGAGCGCCAGAGGCATGGGCGGAGATGATTCGGACATTGGAGTGGGAAGTTGTAGGCAACCAGTTACGCTTGGCTCTGAATCTTGGGAATCAGGGAAATGGCTCATTCTCCTGAAGACAGCGAGACAGGAGGGAGGGACTTCTGTCCGTTGGGCAGGGTACAGCTGTACCTCAGTAGTGAAGGTCTGTTCCTGGCTGCCTAGTCCCTACTCGCTCAGTTCTCTGCCCCGTGACTGCTGCTTCTCAACCCTGACGAAACCACAATCACCCTTTTGAGGTTCTCCATCCCATGATTACAAGCTGTTGTTCTCCAAGGCAGGGGTCCGTGTCCTTTCTTATGCGTATACATAATACTACCTATATTTTAGGCATCATCCTATTTGACAATTTGAGAAACTAAGGCATGAGCCTAGTGGACTGGTTCATATTCAAGCCGCCTGGAGGCAAGTGACGTCAGACTGCCCTTCCACACCAGAGCACCCTCTCCCGGGCTGGCTGGTAGGCAGGTGATGGGAAACTGTGCCCAGAAATGGGGCTGAAAGTGTCCGCTCCACTGCCCTTTCCTCCCCTCTAAGGTCGAAAAAGGAGAGTGGGCCCCCTCCTCCTGCCAGGACATTGTCCCCTCTCCTCCCACTCCTTGCCACTTACTAACCTTCAGAACAGCGCCTTCAACTTTGCTCACTAAGAAGAAATAAAGACACGTGTCACAGCCTTCCACAGAGTGGGTCTGATTTGTTCAGAAGGTGGAGTGAAGACCAATCAACTTGCTCATCACCACAGATAGCACTGAGATCCTGAACTTCTACTGCCGCCGCCGCCTGTCAAATCTACCTCCTATGGAGCCCTGGTGCCATGACCTTTGCCCCAGACCCTTTTCTCATGCCCAATCCCTAGCCTGGGTGCCACCATTCAAGAAAATCCCGTGTTGGAGCTCCACTTTCTTCACCCATTTCTGGTCCCTGACTTTACCTTCATCTTCTTCATGCCTGCTGCTCTGCTCTTCCCAGAACAACTGGAAGCAGAGGAAGACACAACCGCTCCCTCCACTTTTCTTCCTTTTTCTCCATCCCACCCCATCCAGTTCAACCAGAGCCCAGCAGTAGTCCTTAAAGGCAAACCACTTCCAATGTCAATGACACTGATGGGTGACCTGATGGGTATCGGTTCACTTCCTCGTGCAACCTGAGTGTGATGTGAGAAGACACACGTACCTGTCCACTTCCCTCCTGACTCCAGTCTCTGACCTCTGACTCCCTCAGGCTTCTCCACTTTCTAGATTAGACTCGGGCGCCTCCCATGAAACTGGGGGGGTAAGTTGTAAATAATAGACTTGTATGTACTTCACCTTGTCACGTGTCCCAGCCCAAGGTGCCCATCCAGAAGCACCTGGTATCATTTAACAAACATACTAAAACACAACTAGGCCGGGCGGTGGTGGCTCACGCCTTTAATCCCAGCACTCGGGAGGCAGAGGCAGGTGGATCTGTGTGAGTTCAAGGCCAGCCTGGTCTACAAGAGCTAGGTCCAGGACAGGAACCAAAAAGCTGTCTCAAAAATTCAAAAAAAAAAAAAAAACCCAACACAACTAGTTTTCACAGCTGGAGAAGGGTATGGGTTGAGAAGTTGGGACAATGACGAAATGAGTAGCAACAGCAACGACAAATGTGAATGGTGACAAAGACGGCCGTGATGAGCAGGTAGGCTACCAGGGTGAGTTCCACAGCAGTGCGAGTCTCAGGGTCTGAGAGCGAGGCTGGGTAGCGTCCGCGAGATGTTACTCCCAACCGGAAGCCAGCGATCCTCAACCCTTGCCGCCAGCAGTAATAGATGCCCCGGTCGCTCAGCTGGGTGAAGCGGATGTGGAGATGGTTGCCGTGGTCGATGAATACTCTCATGGAGCTGTTGACACCTTTTAGGTACTGTGTGCGGTAGAGGGGCTGATGGTCTTTGTCCCAGGCCACAGCATGCTCTGGCCTGGCCCCGGGACAGGAGATGATGAGGCCATGGCCTAGCCTCTGCTGATGGAACTGAATGGGCACCTGAGGCAACCAGGGCCGGCTGCCCAGTTTGGACACGTAGTTGTAGATTGTTAGCATACCCTTCTGGACCTGAGTCCTCTTCTCACAGGACACTAGGCAGCTCTTGATCAGCAGCTCAGGTGTGTGGTACCTGGTCTTGACGCGCAGTTTCCTTGGCACGGCCCGAGAGCCACAGGACACAACGTCGGGCAGTGTCTTTAGGTACCGAGGGGAGAGACCAGGGTTCTGCAGGTAGCAGAGTCCAAGGCGCCACTGTTCCCCATGCACCCCACAGCGGTCACAGGGGGTCCACTCCCAGAAGGTAGTGAAGACATGGAGGCTTCCGTAGTATTCATCTGGCAATGGCTCCTGGCCCTTGTCCTGGAAGGTGGCTACCATTCCTTCATGACTTTGGATGTCCACATCATAGGCATAAAAATAGTCCCCCTTGCGGGTGCCACAAAAATATAGGCCTGAGTCCTCTGACTGAGCCCGGAAAACTAACAGGCTGAACATGCGGATGCTGAAGCGGACCAGCATGCTGCTGCCTGCTCGAACATGAGCTGCCTCTGTGAGCAACCGCCCGTCAAAGTCAGTAAGCACGACGGTGTGGTTGCTCCCCAGGTGCTTTTGGTAATACCAGACCACGGTCGAAACATCCTCAGGTTTGCAGTGGCAGGGAAGCTCAAAGCTCATGTCAGCCAGATAGGCAGCGTTATCAAACATCAGGAAAGCCGGGCAGGGCGTCCTCTGAAAGATGTTCTCCTTCTCCACGATTTCAAAGGCCTGGAGACTGACCCAGGCACACAGGAGCACAGTGGTATGGGCCAGCCTCATGCTTGTAGGAAGGAGGGTCTTGAGGGGCTAGGGCAAAGCCCAGGGTACCAAAGACATGTGGCTTTTTAGAAATCACTGCTGAGAGGAGGCCGCTACATAAAGAAAGGTTCAATCAACCAGTACAAGAAGCCAGAAAGTGCAGGGGAGAGAGCCAATGCAAGACAATTTATTCCCAGCTGATGTACAAGGTGCTGTTCTAATGCACAGGACTGATGGGGGGGAGTCATTCTAGAACCAACACTCTCTCATCTTTCTAGAACACTGGCACTCACCTAAGAATGGGCTACGGGAAACTAGAATGAGCTCTAAGCACTCTTGGCCCCGCCTGCCCCGGAGAACATCCCTTCAGCAATCTGAGAGATAGGACAGAAACCTCTGGTCATCTGGGATGCTGGCCAGACCTGAGCCAATGGACTGGGGATTTCCCAGGCTCAACCTGAGAAAGAACTAGGCCTCTGGGGGAAAATTCTGCTTCTCAAACGAAGGAGCCTTTGCTTATTATTGATTGGCTGTTCATTCACTGGCTTTGGGTTATAAATATTCTGGTTAAGAGTTATGATCAGTGTTTATCTTTTATCAGAAGTCAGTGAGTTTGCTTTTTTTCCCCTCTGGGAGGGAGTGTTATGTGGCCAGAATTTAGTTGCAAACACATCCACTTCTCAAGGCTAGGGACGTGGCCACCTCATAAGGTAAGGAGCAAAACACTCTCAACCAGTAGGGCCCTGGCTATCCCGGGGAGCCACATAGATAAAATTACGGGCTGGAGAAGCGGGCAAGCCCACTATTCAAAAACGGAAGTGGGTGTGGCTTTCTCACGATAGTTCTTTCAATACCTCTGCAGAAAACCCAAGATAACCACCACAAAATGCGTTCCAAAGGGGCTGGCGGGATGGCTCAGTGGTTAAGAGAACCGGTTGCTCTTCCAGAGGACTGGGGTTGGTACAATTCCAGCACTCAAATGGGAGCTTCCAACCATCTGTAACTTCCAACCATCTGTAACTACACTTCTAGAGGCTCCAATACCCTCTCTGGCCTCCTCAGGCACTGGGTACACACATGGTGGACATACATACATACATGTAGGCAAGACACTCACACACATAAAATAAAACAAGTCTTTTTTTAAATAAAAAAAAATGCTTTCTGAGACCACTGGGGAATGCTGAGGGCAGCCAGTTCCATCAGTGGAGCCCATACAGCCCTCGCAGCTCCTGTAGGAGCCCCTCCTCTCCCTGCAGCCCAGCAGATGGCTCCTCCAAGCTGAGCCCCTCCTGCATGGGTCTGGGGGTGCCCATGGCCTGTAACTTCTGAAACAAGTGCTGGCAGCTCTCGCGCTCTGCCTGGCTCAGCAGGCTCAGGTTCAGGGTGAACCGCCCTGTGTTAGCCAAGCTGTGCAGGATCTTTAGCACTGCCGCCCGGTCGCTTAGCCTCACATGCTCAGCCAGTGCCACCAGCAGCTCCCCAAGAAGTCCAAAGCCCACATCCATCTGGAAGAGGTGGCCCAGCTTGGGACCCCCAAGCTGAAGCAGGGCTTGGTAGCGCTCTGATCCACCTCTTAGGTGCCGACGCCAATCACGGTAAAACTCTGCAGAGGTCGCAGGCTGGAAGGGTGATGTCTCCTGCATTACAAAGGGAAACAAGTCCCGGAGTTCAGCTTGCCACTCTGCAGCTGTGATGGGGAGGGGGGTTATGAGTTTTCATCTTGGTGCTGCAACTGTTCCCTGAGCTCTGGGAAGGCTGGCCTCTGCGGCCTCATTTTCAGGCGAGGGAGCTGGGGAGGGAGGAGGAAAAGAGCTGGGCAGGGAGGAGGGAGGAGGGCCCAAGGGATCCAGGCTATGATTTGAAGGTCTCCTTTGTACTGGGGTTTCCTCCTGAGAAAGGAAACATAGCTCTTGGCCTTTTAGAGTAAGTCAGAGCTTGCTGGAGAAAAGGAGGCGGAGGCGGGGCAGGGAGGGGGGAGTTTACTGTCAATCTCTGACAGAGAAGAAGGAATTCAAAGTAAGTGTCAAGGTCTGTCAGGCTGGGTCCCTCTCGGATGGATACTGCTGCAGGGTTGTTAAACCATTTCCCACCAGTCTCAGAAGGACTGCTGCAGGACTGCCGAGCCCAGCTCATCCCAGTCCCGCCATCTGATGGCTGTTCTAGGATTAGAGGGGGGGAAAGCCTGTTTCTGTTGGCTTCCGGGAGACGTACAGAAGTGGTGTGTGTTGTAAGCAGACAGGGCCATAGCTTTAGCATGGAGAAATCCTGCTGGGCTGAAGAGGCTGGCCTGCACCTACCCGGGGTATTTCAGTGGCCACATCCTCAAAAGTCCTTTCCCTAGTAGTGTGACAGTTCCAGGGCACAAGTCCTTTTCCCCTTATCTTGTCCTTCTGGTCCAGAGGTTTCAGGTGTGATGCAAGGACAATACCCCTGGGTCAAAGATAGAGATTGACACTTCGTTTCCCTGGATGTGGGGCAGCTGCTGGGCTGGGTCACAACAGCAACGGTGGCACAGTTAGCTAACAGCACCCAAGCACTTCAAACGGGCGACATGCTGTGCTTACACATGATAACTCAAACAACCATAGCAGCCATTTCTCTGTTACAGACGCAACCGAGTCTCAGCTGGTTAAGGAGCTTGGGCAAGACCGGCCAGTAGCAGAGGGTGGGGGCGGGATGGGAGCTCAGAATGATCTGAACGTAGACTGCTTGCTTTTAAATTCCGTAGCCCACCATGCCCGAGGGGGCCCGATAATAGAGCTGCACACCAACCTGAACTCCTCGTAAGAAGGCACTCTTTGTTCAACCGCCCGTAACTTGGCAGCGTTCTCCCTTTGGTACTTCTCGTCGGCAGCAAGTGCAGCCTGCAGCTCTCTCTCCAAAGCCTTGAAGTTGATCGCATCATTCTTTTCCATGGCTCAGGCCCGGGAAGACAAGAAGAAAGCATATCAGCAGAGGTTCAGCATCAGGGTAAAGGTGATGCCTTGAGATTCTTTGTCAGAACGTGAAACAACCCAAAGCAATCCAGTATGTACCCTGGAGTGCTACAAAAATCTAGCTCCCTCCTTTAGAGATCAAATGGAATTGCATGATGAAGACGTATTCAAGGCTTCTCACAGAAAACAGAACAGAAAGCTTCCAGTTTGAAGTCTCAATTTTGTTCTCTGCTTCTAACACCATGTTAGATGCTAAGGGCTAGCATAGCGGTAGAAGTCTGCCTGGCGAACACAAGACCTTGGGTTTGATGTCCAGCACCACCACAAAACAATTTGGATGTTTCAGTTGAGGAAGCATTTAGATTTTTGAACCTTTATTCTTTCATATAGGATTTCTCTATGGCAGGTTGTTGCCACAATGGACAATGGAGCACAACACACACACACACATACACACACGCACGCACGCACGCACGCGCGGGCGTGCAAGAGAGAAACGGATTCTTGAGCTCAAGGACAGAATTTCACACTTCACTAAATATTTTTAATGGAGGAAAAAAATATTTTCACCTAAAGGAAAATCAGTGACTACGCAGGGAGTCGAGGGAAAGAGGCAGAAGGGAAAAATCTCAGTGGCTTCCATCCCCAGGGCGAAAAAAAGCTCAATGATCTACATCCCCAAGTCCCTGATCAACAAAGGGCTGCAGGCACGGGTTGAGTGGTAAGTGGGCATTAACTCCAGTCCTACCACTGCAGTTCTGCAGCCTCCCGGTGTGAGTCTCCCGGGCTGATGTCACCAGAATCTACGCGTTCCAGTCTGAGCTCTGACATTCACTTGTAAGACCTCTCTCCGCCTCAGAATTCTGGTGAACCGGAGCTAGATAGCGTAGTTCACTCATGATTACCCCTATGGCAGGAAATGAGCCAGTCCGCAAGCAACTTCACCACCACCCAACGCCGACCCCAACGAGGGGAAGCGGAATGCTAAGTGGGCTGTGTTAGCAAGTCAGCAATTGGACTCAAGTGTCTCAGATCCTGTCCAATCATTTTTTTTTTTGGGGGGGGGAGGGTTGTCTCGCTATGTAGTGCAGGTTGTTCTCTCCAAAACATCTGCGTTCATGATCTTTCCTCCAGGCTCTGCCTCGGGAGCAGCTTAGACTCCCACCACCCGCCCACCTCCCTGACGAGGTCTAAGCCTTCCCCATCATAGAACAACTAGAACAGTCCCCTTTCCTGTCCCTAGACCCTCACCCAGCAGCCCCGATCTTGGACCCCTTGCTTTGGGGAAAAATCCCGGATCAGTTCGAACTCCTGTGTGTCGCCCGCCCAACAGCGGTTGTCGCCTAGCAACGGCTCCACTAGCCTGCCCACGTGACCCGCCCGAAGGCCCTCTCCTTCAGGGTGTCCCAAGGCGCCTGGTCAGATTCGTGAATTCTCCGGCCTTGTTTTTTTTGGGGAGCAACTCACGCTTTGTTTTGAGGACCAACAAATGTGTCTTTCCCGTTTCTGTCTCCGAGGCCAACATTCCTCAAAGCCGTTTTTCAGGCAAAGGGCTGTCCGCTCAGGCGAAGCGGGCAGCGACGCGCTCGGGGTCCTTCCCCGAGCCTGGCGCCGGCGTTGTCGCGGCGTGCAGCGGAAGCGCGGGCTCAGGCGGCGGACCGGGAGCGCTCTGCTGAGCAGGAGGCGGGTGAGCTGACTTGGGAAGGTTGGGACACGAGAGAACATGAGCTTGGGAGAAGGCGATTTATATAGTATTTATCCCTTTCGCTTCACACAGGGACAGAGTGAAGCCTGGAGTGGGAAAGGGAATGAAAGTTGCCCCCACCCTAACACACGCACACACCGACGGTTCCGGGGAAACCCCGACACCCTGCATAGTTTAAATCCCGTCCCTGGGTAGAGAGAGGTGACTCTAACAACCCAGATCCCTGCCACTCCCACTTCCATTGGTGCTTCCTTCACCGCCAAGCTTCAAAATATTCGGCATCCGAGCTGGCTGTGGTCCCTGATGCCTATTTCTCCCGCTCTGGAGACCGAGGCTGGAAGATTGTCACAGGTTCAAGGCCAGCCTAGGCTAAGCATTGAGTCTGGTTCAAAAAGCTAACGCAGAAAAGATTGAGCATTTCTTTGAGGATCTGCGTTGTAGCGGTAAGATGTAGGTTTAGTATTTAGAGACTAGCTCTTCTTAACTAAGCATGTTATTAATTTACCCCACCCCCCAAAAAAACTCCGAAAAACTTGTTGAGGGCCTATTGAGGGTCTGTTTTGTGCCATGCACTATTTTTGTATGTTTTCCCCTCCGATTTATTATTAGCATTTATCAGTGACAAATATACACTCCCGTTCCCCAATTACTAGTCAAGCGAAGGCTTTGTTTACTTGGCTGGGGCTGTAACTCAGTGGTGGAGTGTTTAGTGTGAGGCCCAGGATTTGATCCTAAGCACCAAATTAGTATGGGGGGGAGTGCTTGGCAAGTGTGTGTGGGGGATTTTTAGAGTGACAGATAGGTGGATATTAAAGGAGAAACTGAGTTAAATGTGTTGACAAGGTATAAGTAGCCCGAGATGATGGGAATGACAAGTTCATTGGTTCTGAGGCAGAAGTGAGCCTGGCTTGTTCCCTAAACAACTTTCTGTAAAAGTTTGTGCCATCACCTGATGGGAGTCTTGGGAGAATAAAATGAACATAAATGGGGTGTGTGCAAATAGATAAAATGAGTAAGGCAGAGAAGTGGAGAAAGTACTGGACTCTGGGGAGATTCTTCAGTAGATTGGGCAGTCATGAGTTAACTCCTGAAGGATGGATGTAAAGGAGACAGGCCGTGGTGCAGGCTTTCAGGACTTGCCAGATACTGACCGGTCTCTTCTTGAATTTTAGCATCATGGATACTGACTTGTATGATGAATTTGGGAATTATATTGGACCAGAGCTTGATTCTGATGAAGATGATGATGAACTGGGAAGAGAGACAAAAGATCTTGATGAGGTAAAACAAAACAAACGTTGGGTTTTTTGTTTGTTTGTTTTTCTTTTTTTTTTGGTTTTTCAAGGCAAAGTTTCTCTGTGTCATAGCCCTAGTTGTCCTGGAACTAGCTCTTTAGACCAGGCTGGCCTCAAACTCATAGGGATCCACCTGCTTCTGCCTCCCGAGTGCTGGGATTAAAGGTGGGCACCACCACTGCCCAGCTGAACATTGTTTTCTTTATCCATCTCCGTTTTTAAAACAATGCTCCCATAATAGCCTGCATGTATTTCTAATATTGCCTTTTTTATAACATGACTTTTATTGGGATTTTGTGTTGGCTCCTGAAAGCTTAGGCAGGAATATAAGAGAGTTTCATTCATGATATGGTCTTGGAATCCGGACTCTAGTAACAGTTCTGTGGACTCTGCTAGTTCCCTGCATTGTCTCCTGACAGGCACGAGTGAGCTCTTTCACCACGGGCAGTCAGCTACGTTAGCGCATCTACACCTGGAACAGCCTTGTAAACTCAGATTTTAAAAGTGGCATACAAAGCTGGGCGGTGGTGGCACATAGATTTAATCCCAGCATTGGGAGGCAGAGGCATGTGGATCTCGTGAGTTCAAGATCAGTGTTGTCTAGCAAGTTCTAGGACAGCCAGAGCTAAACAGAGAAACCCTTTTCGGGGGCGGCATACAAAAGGAGGGGGCAGGTTTCTATTACTTCAGGTTAGGAGTGGGAGATAGAGTTTAGAATAGTTTAAGGCTCGCAAAAGGCACTTTATATAAAAAAGCCAGGAAGTTATGTAATCCCAATACTTAGAAATGGGGGCAGGAAATAAAGAGTTCAAAGTCAGCCTTAATTTCATAACGAGTTTGAGGCAAACCTGGGCTACATGAGATCCTGTCTCTAAAATATAGCTCTAAAGAATTAGTGAGAAGATTATTTTTTTAAGGAGGGGTATGATTTATGTTTTTTTGTCATCACAAATACCTGTCGAAAACCAACTAAAGGAGGAGGGATTTGTGGCTCCTGATTTGAAGGACTTCAGTGGCTCATGGTGGAGAACACACGGCAGCAGTTGGTTCTGTGACAGCTACTTACTCACATCTCAGGACGCTAGGAAGCAGAGAGGACAGAAGCCAGAACCAGACTGTAAGGTTCAAGGCTCCGTCTTCCTAATGTTGCACAGCAGCCTGAAACAGCACCACCAACTGGGGGCCGGGTGTTCAAACAAGCAAGTGCTGAACATTTTCATCCAATTGGCAACAGGCACTGAAAGTGGCTCTAATGTTTTAGCATTGTTCAGAACATGAGTAAAATGTAGATTTAAAGAAGTAGGGTCTTTAGGGAATGAATGATTTTAGTGGAAACGAGACAGGAATGGGGTGAGAACAGCTAGCGTCATTGTATAAACGTATAGAACTGTCAATGAAAAACAGATTCATAGGGGGCTGGAAAGATGGCTCAGTGGTTAAGAGCATTGCCTGCTCTTCCAAAGGTCCTGAGTTCAATTCCCAGCAACCACATGGTGGCTCATAACCATCTGTAAAGAGGTCNCAGCACTTGGGAGGCAGAGGCAGGCGGATCTCTGTGAGTTTGAGGCCAGCCTGGTCTACAAGAGCTAGTTCCAGGACAGGCTCCAAAGCCACAGAAAAAACCCTGTCTCAAAAAAAAAAAAAAAAAAAAAAAAAAAAAAAAAGTCTCATAGAGGGGAGCAGCATCCTTTTCATCTTCCTGTGTTTCCTCCACAAGCCCATGATGGACCGGAACAAAGCAGCTGAGCTCCCAAAGCTGCAAGTTGGCTTCATTGACTTTGTATGTACTTTCGTGTACAAGGTGCGCAACAGAGTTGTTCTATGTGGCCTGGGGTGGACTGGCCGAGAATGGGTAGGGAATGGGCTGGACCCAGCTGTGATCTTGCGGGGACATTTCTGTGGTCTCCACCTTTATCTGATAAGGTATGATGTACAATACACTTGTCCTTCTACCCTATCACAACACCCATCTCAACCTCCCAGCCAATGGTCTGTCCCAAAATTTGTGAATGTCCTTCAGAAGCACCTAGTGCACCCCTAGAAGGTCCTTACTCACCCTGAGGTCTCACTTTAAAGATCCCAGCCTCAGAGTGCCACTACTCACAATGGGCACACTGTCTTCAGGAAAACGACTGCAACTTGCCTACTAGGTTTCTGTGAAAATGTGGAGGTGAGCCTGAGTCTGTCTCCACTGGCATACCCCAATACAACCTGAAGAACACGACAGCAGCTGTGTTCCCACTAGCTGATCAGGCACCAATGCATGCCAAGGTTTGAGTTCTGCTATTGATTGTAGAACATGAGGCAGGAACTTGGAGAGACTCGAAAGATAGGCCTGACTACAGTGTCCTTGTGTGGTGCACATGACACCCCAGCTCCACCTACTCTGGTTGTCCTCCGTGGTAACGGACCCCACATTGTAAGGCAGACACTGTGTGATTCCAGGTGAAGCCAATCCTAAGCAGCCAGGCAAGCAGAAAGAGGGGGTCCCTGGAGGCCCCACTGTCTTCCTCGGTCCATCTGCATCACCTGAAAGCAGTTCCAGGGCTCGTTGAAGCTTCCAGCCCTGCTGCAGCTGACATTCCCTGCTCTATTCTTGGGATGCTCATCCTGCTAGGTCTCTGTCAGAAGTACATCCACCCAACAGCTCCCTCTCACACAAGCTCCTATCTGCCCTCCTCCTTGGGGACTCTCTGGAAAGGGAAGACTACAGTGGTTCTTTCCTATGCTGATCGACTCTATGTGACATCGTGTAGGGTTCAGCCCCACGTGGAACAGCTGAGGGTGGGGAACCAAGCTCACGCTGGGCCTGGTGCAGCCACAGCTCGTGTGACCTGGGGATCAGTAGTGGTCACCTTACAAGCATAGTGCCGGGGAGTGTGGGGCCTCACTTCACTGTCCTTATGACTTTTAAAATAAAATACATCACAGATATGAGAGCATCCTCAGTCTGTTGAGCTTGCTGCAGGGAAGCCCGAGACCTTTGAAGAGCTACTATCTGAGCCCTCCAGGAGCAGGGGACAGCACAGTGACTTCTCAGTTCCCTCTAGGAATTTTCTCGCTTTCATGAAGAGATCCTGCCCATGTATGACCGGCTGCAGAATAACAGGAAGGAGTGGAAAGCACTGGCTGATGAGTATGAGGCCAAAGTCAAGGCCCTAGAGGAAGAAAAGAAGGAAGAAGACAGAACAGCAACCAAGAAAGGTCTGGACCCCACAGAGGACTGGGATGGGCTCAGAGTCAACGCCCGAGTCAATGCTGTAACATGGGACAAAAAAAAAAAAAAAAAAAAAAAAAAAAAAAAAAAATCACCAAGGAGTCAGAAAGGGAGGCTAA